CATTAATTAGCATTTTCACTGTGGTTTTGTACTGAAGCAAATGATTCCATCTCCACCCTTACCCAACACAGCTAAGCTAAGCAAAAAACCCCAACAAAAACAAACCAACAAACCACCTCATCCGGTGGTGCCCTGACACCTGCTGTACTACTGAAATGTAAGTGTGGTAAGTACTCAAGAGAGAATGAAGAATACTTTGTGTCAGGGAATGCTGAAAAGTATATCCAAATGAAACCACATGGGAAGTTACCTCTAGCATACGCTTATGTAAGGTTGGGATTTGCAAAGCAACTTATCACGTGATATTAGGAGTTTAGTTACAACTATAAAGACTTCAGCAAATGAAAATCTACTAAAAAGCTAAGAATAAGCTTTTCTTTTTCTCTGCTGTGAATTAAATCCTTATTAGGTTATTATATATGAACATCTATATATATGAAAAGGCTTTCTTTAAACTTTTTCTAGTTTTGTCCTAGTTGATATTTTAAACATATTTTCCTAATACATATTTATAAACACACAATGTTTTGCTTGCATTCATTTGGATGCCCTTCAGTGGACAAAACCAACCCCATTCCTGAATGCATAAATGTTTTCAGATTCTCTGATTTGAAAAAATCTTTCAGATAAGCTTTCTGCACAAACCTGTCTTGGACCGGTTTCAAAGGTAATGTTTTCCCTTTTCCACAACAACTTCAATCCCCAGTTACCCAAAGTGTGCTTTGCTCTGTCATCCCGGCTCTGCTCCCTGCACCACTGAGTACCTTTAAACATGCGTGCACCCATTTTCTTCCTGCCAGTGCCAGTGCCCGATAAGTGCTGGCCACAATGCCAAGCTCGAGCTGCTCTTGCGCTTAGCATAGGGCTGGCCAAGAGCCTGGCCTCACGCCAGGGAGCTCTGCTGGTGCAGCCCCAAGAGCTACTCAACACCAGAAACAGGGTGGAGGACTCATTGGGACTTTGGTCTGCCCTTCACTGGCCATGCCGACAGCCCTGAGCTCCCCTGGGAGCAGAAACCCAAACCCTCTGGGCTTCATGTTTGCTCCGGTGAGTCCAGCTGCAGCAGGCAGCACCAGGGCTTGCCCCAGCCCTTCTGCCCAGCTTCCCCAGAAGCGGCAGGAGGTGGGGGCTGTGGGGAGCTGCCGCAGGAGGGGTGCAGACTAGGTTTGCCATGTTCTGTGGCTGCTGGTTGCAGCTGTGCCTCTCTGCCTGTCACCCAAGTGCACAAATAAACTGCTGCAGGTGGGGAGTGTATGCCCTGAGGCTGATGGAGCAATGCTAGTTTAAAAGGAGGTACATGTAGAACACCCAGATGCTGAGCTGGAAAAATGGGTTAAGAACAGCCGAAGATGTGCTCCAGGAGCAGGAGGAAGGACTGCTGATCCAGCCCTGCTGGGATTCTCAGTCACTAGAACACCAGCTTGCAAAGGAGGGACAGCTGTCTGCTGTCTTGCATGCTGTGATGAGCACACCAGTACTTACCTCACCAGCAGCCTCCCCTCCACACACATGCATCCAAGGTTGTAACAGGCCTATAGGAAGGATTATTATTCAAAATTCGTATTATTTCCATTTGCTTTTCTTAATGTAAGAGTACAAACATAAAAAATTACATTCATGCAGATTTATGGACAGTGATCTTGAGGAGTGAGCACCTATGCACACAAACTCAGGCAATCTGGAGTGATGGATGTTTACCACTGCAGCCTTAGTTTCACTGTGTACTTTTCCATAAGTCACCACAAGTACAAAATGCTATGTATTTGCACAAGGCGCCAGAGGTATGGTTGCTATGGGAACCACAACCCTCAAAATTCCCTCTCTTTTAATCCATACACAACCTCAATCAGAAAGCATGTTAATGCACTGCATGGCCTTTATGCTTGATATATGCCATATTTTTCAGTACATAAGGGTTTGGGATTTTTACTTTCACACATTTTGCTTAAGTTTATTAGCTTCTCTCTGCACAGATTAGATTTCTGTTGACCTACATCACACTGTCATTATTTCATCTGCCCCCTTAAGCTGGCAAATTAGGAAATAACCAAGACTGTCTTGAACCTGTGTTCTTCGGTGACCCCTGTGTGTCTACCCTTATGCAGTAAGAGCACCCCTTTTGCTCCATACTAAAAGCTGCTTCACTCCCGTGCTACAAGGGATGTGCGTGCTTTGCAGGCAACTACAGAACAGGGAAGACAGACAATGCTGTGTGTCCACCCAGCCTCAAGTTTGCCCCTCCTGTACTTGCTTCAACACTCTGGGCTTCAGATCAACCCACTTCACCATCAGTTTACCTCTAAAGCTGCAACAGGGCCCAAGTTCTAGGCTTCTTCCAAGTTGGGATGGCAGAACCAGGATATGGGGTGAAGGGGGATATCAAACGAGAGGTGCCAGGGTTGCAAGAGGTGCCACTCTTCCTCATACCTGCCAGGTTCTCTGCCCTGCTGTAGTTCTTACTATTGAAGTTTGTAATTACACCTTGCATTTTTTTCTGTTTTCCTCTCTGCTTTGACTCTGACGCTCTACATAATAAAATAAGGTATTGCTACCAACCACCCTGTTCAGCTTCGTTGGGGTGGATTTTTTCACTTACTGGTGAGATTTAAGAAAATAAATGAGTTACAAAGAAGTATGTGGAAGAAAACAGAACAAAAGCCTTTCCCTGGCTTCTTGTATAAGACTTATGTGAAATAGTACCCCGTAAACTAATCCTTTTGTATTTCTGTCATACTTGTGAAAGAGAAGAATAATAGAAAACACTCTAAGCCAAGACCCATATAAGATTACTGACCTCTTTCTCCATGCACCATGCAAACTCTTACATATTAGTCCTTGAAATTCACATCTCTCCTTTAGCCTCCTACAGCTGACCTCTTCACCCTGCTGTTTCTTACCCCATCAGCTTCAGGGTACCACATCAGGGCACCTTCACAAGTAACCTGACACTGAAGCCTAACGTGATAAACCTCCAAAATCATTACCTTACATTATTCCACTTCACATATTAAGGAGCCTGATGCATCTGGCTCTAATTCATTTATTTGTCCAGCATTCATGTAGAGGCATGAAAAAGGGCAGATCTCAAACTTATTTCCAGGGAGGAAGGAATAAACCTGTCTGACACAAACACAGGCAGGTCTGGAGATGGGCCAAAAAATAAAACACTATAATGCAACACTCAAGAGGTCCCTCTTTATGAAAGGGCACTGACAAGTAGAGACAGCGATATGGGAAGCCAAAGATGACTGAAAACAAAATGAGTCAGTACTATCCTTCCAAGTTTACAAGCCATTTTAAATCAAATAAGATTCACCTTGGGAGCACTGGAATCTTTCCTCTTGATCTAGCAAGCACTCAGGGTGCTGCTGCATGTTGTTCCATAAGCACAGACGTATTTGCTCATAGGTAATTTACAGTCTCTTCGCTCCAGGCATATTAGGAAGGAAGCTCTAGGGAGTTCAACTCACAACGCCAAGATGTTTTCCTAGACAGGAAGCTGCCCAGCTTTCCTTCTCCCTCGGCTTCTTTCAGGGATTAAACTACAAATATTTATCTGTCTTTCAAATAGTTTCCATGTATTTATGTGAGGGTTTTTTCCCCACTCTTTGTTTCTCATGCAAAGAAATACAGCATTCAAGCAAATAAATTCCTATTTGTTTCAGTCATGTCATGACCCATCCCCCAAGCTATGGTGTGTGAAACAAACCCTGTACCTCCTTCCCTGACCTTATGGCATTCACAACCACATGACTTAAAATCACCTGGGCTTTAGGTTGTTTATACCTCAGTCATATATGTACACAGGTTACATAAAGTCCCAAGTACTGTAAAATCGTTTTGTGCTTCTAACTTCTCCACCAATAACAGACCGGGAAAACAAGCAATGTGCGCTTGCAAAGGGAATTAATTAAATACATTTTTTCATTCTTTAAACATTCAAAGGTCACAGATCTTAGAACAGAACTGCAGAACTGTACGCTCCCCAAGTCTGGTGTTAACCAGAGTCCAAGGTTTGCCAGCATTATCAGTAAAGAATCTACTCTGCCATCTCTCCCCTGTACATCCCTCAGAAAAGGAGCAATCCATGGCTACGTCAAGACACTTTCCATGTTAAACGTAGCTCCAAGCTGCATACTACATCCCCAGCCTGCTAATGTGGGTAGCCTGCACGCAAAGGTGCCTCTAAGAATAAACTCAGCAGCTGAGCAACAAACGCCAGCTTCAGATCATAACGTTGATGGTTTCTGCATAGAACACCTGGCGGGCAGGGCAACTGCTTTGAAATGCAAAGCGATTCAGGGAGTTCTTGTTGTGACACACCTCGGTCACAGGAATACCAGAAAATGGCCCGCAGGGGAAGGCAAAAGATGCAAAGACACTGACGAAAAACGTTTGCTGCTTCTTCCTACCTCAGTACTTCAGGGCATTCCCAGAGATAAAGGGCTTATGTCTGGGATTCATAACATTAGAAAACTGAGGACTGAAGCCTGATTTGAGAGGAAGCTTTTAAGTGAGGTTGCTTAAAGCACAAGGTCTCCTCAGGGCCGAAGTAACACGCAGCAGCAAATTCCCTCAGGCTCTCGAGAGAAAACGTGGAGCAAGCCACAACGCAGGGCCTGACCCCTCCTCCCCCGGGGGGGTCCAGCCTGCCCGGGCCAGGGAGAGCCCTCTTCGGAAGTGCCCCTACGGCGGCGGCACTGGCTCCCGCTGCCCCTTCCCTGACACCACCACCCCCACCACAGGCTCCGTTACACAACGCCCCCATTCGCGGAGGCGGGCGAATGAGTGGGGCTCACCCACCATTGGCTCAGAAGCGCGTGACGCCGATTGGCCCGCACCTGCGCACTGTCGCGACTCATCCCTCTCAATTGGCCGAGCCCGTTGTAATAATGGCGCAAAGAGGCCAGGGAGCGTGCCTCGATTGGCCGAGGTCCTGACGCACCGCCCTATATAAAGGCGGCGTGGGGGGCGGACCCATAGCTCTTGCGCACGGTGTAGAGGGTCTGTTTTGTGTGCCGCCCGCTTCGGGAACATGGCGACGCTGAAGGCTGTGTGCGTGATGAAGGGAGACGGCCCCGTGCAGGGCGTCATCCACTTCCAGCAGCAGGCAAGGGCTGGCGGCGGCGGCGGGTGCGACCCGGTCGCTCTGCACCTCCCCTGGGGGCTCGTCTTGGCCGTACTGCTGAGTCACGATGCAGCGCGGGCGGCGCGGTTCTTCCTCCCTCCCCCCTTCTCCTTCCCGCCGGTGGACCTGCGCTGGGCGGGCTTGGCCTGGGCTGTGGCCCCGCACCGTTGCAGCGCTAGGAGGGACCGCTGCTGTCGAGTCCCTGGGTGCGCCGGGGGATGGGCCCGGCCGGTGCTGGGCGACCCGGGCACCGTAAAGGGAGGGCTGAAGGGGGATGGCTGGCTTCCACCCTGCCCGGGGGTGTGCCGCTGGACTAAGTGCTGGAGCCGGCGTTAGTCCTACTGTAAAGCTTGTTTTGACACGCTAAGAGTGGGGCTTAACGGAGCTCTAATTGCTAAGTGGCCTGAGCTCCTTCATACTGTCGTTTAACATCCGTTTATACTTAGTAGAGAATTTGGGGTTTTATGTGGGCAGTACTGTATCTGTAAAGGAGGAATGAGTGCAGGGTTACTTGTGCCTGCAAGTGGAAGTACATGATTATTCTTAAAAGCAAACAATGTGATAAAAGGCATTCCTTTCGTTTATTGTTGCATAATACACGTCAGGCAGCTAAATAAATGCAGGCATTCTGTGAAATACTGTATTGGCATATAGAATCAGTTAATGTAATTGTTAGTATCTTTGTAGCTGAATCTGTAGAGAAGTCCCTAGTGCTTTCTGTTGACTAGAAGCTTCATTTGATACAAGGCTATTTAACGCTGTAGCTGTTTGTTGATAACAAACCCTTTCTATTAAAGGGGAATGGACCAGTGAAAGTTACTGGAAAAATCAGTGGCTTGGCTGATGGAGACCATGGCTTCCATGTCCATGAATTTGGTGACAATACAAATGGTAAGATGTGTACTCCAGCTTTTGAGTTACATCTGTTATGTGATAGCTCAGGTTTAAAGAGTTTCTTCTAGTGTTGCAGCAGCAACTGCTAGAAGTCTACTTGGGTCTCATGACTGTAAATCTGTGTTAAGAAATAGGGACACATCCTATTTAATACTTTGAATGTGTTTAGGCTGGTGTTCAGGATCTCACACATCAAGCACTAACCTAAATGCTTTGATAGCCTAATGTTAATAAATAAGAAAGCTTTCAGCTGAGCCCTGAGTGTTCTAGAAGGAGTAATCTTACTTTAGTGAACTTATAAATCTGTAGTAGGTTACTCACCTCTAGAGGTTTAGAACATCTAACAGGGGAGTGGGTGACTTCATGGCTTCTGGCTATACACATTAGTGTGTGAGCAACGGATTTAAACTGGATACTGCAAAAAAGCTAATTTTGGTGCCTGTGTTCTGTTTCAGGATGTACCAGTGCAGGCCCTCACTTCAATCCTGAAGGCAAGCAACATGGTGGACCAAGTGATGCAGAAAGGTGAGTTTAATGTGCCTGGGCTGTTCCCTGCAGCAGCCATCCAAGTGCTACATTGTGCTTGGGAAGCCACTTCATAAACAATGCTAGGACAATACCAGAAGAATATTGCAGGACTTCTAGGGTCATTTGACAAAGGCTCTGATAAATCTACACTGATTAGTTAGGTACCTTGCTCCAAGAGTATGTGCAAAGTGTAGTCTTTGGGATATATTCTTGGTTTTGTCGTAGCTTGAGGAGAAGAGGCAATATAAAAGTTCCCCAGCATGTTAGTGCACGGCATTCATGTGTTAAAGCCTTCTGTAATCAGTGGCAATTTGCTTCTGTTGTCAAAAGCTGGCCCTGAAATGGGGGCACTAAATTCAGTTGCTGAGCTTGTGTGCAGGCTTGTCATGTGGTGGATCCGGTTCGTCAGTAGAAGGTGCTGGGGCTGCAGGGGAAACTGCAAGATGCACACAAAGCTGTGTGTGCCTGGGCATGGTGGTTTTCATTGGGTGTGCTGGGCTGTTCTTAGCCTGTTAGCTTAGGTGCTGTACTGCCTGCAGTATGTACCCCTGAGGCTGTGCAACCTGTCAGTACAGAGTCTGATGCTTATACCTCAGTGGGAGCTGAGACCAGGCTCTTCCCCTGGAGGCGGTTTTCATAATCCATTTATCTTCAGGGAACCCTTAACATGTTTGAGACCTGGTGTCTGTTTTAAACAGTATGCTCAGTGGGTTTGGAGACTAGAAGGGGCTGCTGATGACCAATGTGGTAGTGACTGGAGCTAGGAGCAAGTGTGAAAGGCTGGTCTTGCACAGGGGGAGTCTGGACTAGCACTGAGACCAGTGTGGTATTGTGATTGGTCTTTAAAGGCTCAATTTATGTCCATAACTGCACTTTCTGTGACTGGTAAGTTCATACTGGAGTTATCTGTTGCATGCCAGACCAAGGAAGCTGGCTGGTGGCCAGCTGTGTGGATGATAGCAGCATAAAATGGTGTGTTCGAGGACTTCAGTGCTAGCCAACTGCCCTGGGGCTGAAGGTCATAATTGCATGAACACTGTGGCTTCTGCTGTGTCAAATGCTGCTTCTGGTGTAACCTGCCTGCTCAGGCAGCTGTGGGCTGGGGAGCTCATTAGGAGGGTGTGAGAACTAGATCATGCTTTTTACTAGTGTGGAGTTCAAACAATTGGACTGAAGCTTCCCAGAAGCTTAAAGCAAGCAAATTACTAAAGGGAAAACTGCCCTTGGCCTGATTTTATAGGTCTTGGTTACAAATACCAAATTGGTACTATGCTGTCTTAAGGAGCTGGCAGTCAGCATGCAGCTGTCTGAACTGGTCATCCTGCAGGCCTGTGGAGTGTTGGAAACAAGCTGGTATTCCATGTTCTGCATCTGGATAGAAGAATCTTGCAGAACATCACCAACCTGCCATTTGAGTGGGTGCTTTGCTTGGCACAAATCTGTAGGAAATAAGACACTGGAATGTCCTGAAGTGCAGTGAAAACTGAACTGCTTCAGGCTTAATTCTTAAAGGAAGTCCCAGTGGAGATCTAGTGCTGATAAAAAACCTGTGGTAGAGCATAATGCCAAGTGTGTAGGGAAAATGTGAAGCAAACTCAGCCAGTCATCACTGCTCTTCATTAGAACTGCTAGCACTTGATGCCTCCACTTTGACCTGTCACTTGACAACTGCTTTTACTGTCCTGTTTAAACCTAAAGCCTGCAGCTGCTTGTGGAATAGCTGATTTGTGATAGACATTAAGGGCTCTTAAGAGGTTTATTTCTAAAGACCAGTGGCAGTGCTTACACCAAGCCTTGTACATGCAGGAGTGGTGGCATTCCTTTCCCCAAAGTTGATGAACTGTATGCTATAAACTCCTTGATTTTCAAGGGACAATTAAAATTTAGTCCTAGGTATAACCTGCACCTGGGAATGTTAAAGTTTGGCTGGTGATGGTAAGTGAGGACATAGTACTGTTCAAGGTAAGATGGTGGAGTATTTGAATGTAAGAACTATGGGTATTGCGTTGTCCTGGCCAGCATGCAGAAAAGCCTTCAATGAAGTTTTCAGTGAGTCTCTCTGCATCTTTGTGTAGGCATGTGGGAGACCTTGGCAATGTGACTGCTAAAGGAGGAGTAGCAGAAGTGGCAATAGAAGATTCCATCATTTCTCTTAGTGGACCACATAGCATCGTGGGACGTACCATGGTGGTAAGTGTCTTGGTGCCTACTTGTATCACTACTTGCTTACTACTTGGGTACTTATTTGCCTACTGCTTTATGGAACTGTAGAGGAGTCTTGACATTAAATGGAGACTTTTTGATGCTGGAGGTGTTTCCCTGGTGTATGTTACAGAACTTGCACTGCAAGATTTCCAAGGCAGGGAGTTATTCAAAACCTTGCCTGAAAGTCCTCTGTGGATTAGTTAGTGTGGCACTTCACTGCTGTGAGATCATAACTTCCTGCCTGCCTCCAGAGTTGTTCCTCCCCATTTAACTTCACCTCTTCAGCTGTGACTAAAGCAGTCTGACTTGAGGGAGGCCCTGGCATAAGTGCTGTCACTGAAAGTCATGGCAAGGGTCCAGCAGGACAACCTGGTCTGGTGACTGCTGGTGTAACTTGTGCCATGGCCCTCCTGGGAAGGAGGCTGGTAGAGGCTGTGTGCATTGGCTTGTTTTTGTCAGTCTTGCTTCTGTTTGGATGCCAGTGTGTGCTGAGGTTGCTGCTGTGCTCGCTTCTGCATCACGCAGGTGAGGGCTGAGGGGAGGGGAGGTTCTGGAGTGCAGCACGTGGGGTGATGTGGCCTTGTGTTGTGAAGGTGAATGTCAAATCCAGGTTTGCTTTGGGGCTGCTGCTAGCTCTTTGAAATACAGGGGTTTGGTGACTTCCACCTGAAACAAATTCAGCTGAAGGCAAGTCATCTTTTTAGGCAAGCCTAGTCTTAGGTTTTTGGCATGAGCATCAATTTGGCATTCAAGAATAAGTAATTACAATAGGCTTTTTCTCCTTTGTAACACCCTGATAGCTGGCAAAACTGCTTGTCACTGCTAGTACTAGTGCAAGTAGTGAAAAATGTTCATTAGTTCTGCAGTAACATGAACTAAGGTATCTTCAATTCTCTTCCAGGTCCACGAAAAATGCGATGATCTGGGTAGAGGGGGAGATAATGAGAGCAAATTGACTGGAAATGCTGGACCCCGTTTAGCTTGTGGTGTCATCGGAATAGCCAAGAGCTAAGTGTTGTACCTGAAATGTTTCAGATGTTAGTGGTGAATGGGCTGTATTTCGTTGCAAATGCTGTACTTGCCCTTTCTCATGCAAAAGATGTATCACTTAATATCATTACTACTTTGCATTCTGAGTATCACTTAAACTGGTGAAGACTGACTTAATTTTGTATGATGTATATTGCAATTAAAGTGACCCTGATGGAATGTCTCTGTAGTTTTCTACTGAAGCATCTGATGTAACCATTAAGTACAAATTGACTCACTGGAATTCCTGCTCTTTGAAATGGGAGGTGTGTGGTAGTGGGCATGTTGTGAACACCAGAACCTCCACTGTACTGTGTGATTTGGAGGATTAGCCCTAGGAGCTTTGGCAAGGTTACTGAAGAGCAGGAGTTACTGTATCTGCATTGGGACTTCATCCTGGCAGAGTTGCAGCATCTGTAGGTTTCGAACTTGTGTAATAAACTTTCTGGGCAAATACACCTTGGTCTTGCTGTCTGTAAAAAAAGAAAAGCTAACTAGCACAGCTATACCTACTGACTTGCTAACAGGGAAAAGCAGGCCCATAGTTACCTGCTGAACACCAGCAGCTCCCAGGGAGGTGCTGACAGCCAGCGTTAACCCCGGGGTTTTATGTACCTGAGGACAACTGCAGCTTTGCATTTCACATCAAGAAGGTATTTCTGCTTGGGACAATCCAGTGTGCTTGTGAAGTGTGTGTACTCCTGTGGTGGGGAAGCTGTGAGCAGCATATAAGGTGATCTGGCTTCAGTGTGTGTCCTTGTGTGTCTGTGCCCCTGGCAGTGCTGGGTAGTGGTGGGCTGTGTGGAGGGGTTGGTGGAGCCAACAAGTCTCCAAGCAGTGCAGATACCTAGTGTGGAACAGGCACCCTTTAAAAGGGTGTACATAGCCACATATTCTGTATTTAATTTCATAAAGCTCTGCAGCAGTGTATTTCCTGCACACTGGTGCCAGCTTTTGTTATTTCCTTATATGTAGCCCTTAAATCTATTTCCAAGTATTAGAGAAAGCTACTAATTTTAAGGAAGACCTATAACAGCAGTTGGCTGTAGTCTAGATGCCTAGATTCCAGTGTAGCATATTACATGTGAAATGGCTTTTGGTAGTAGAGTACTGTAAAATCACATTAAGCTTACTTAGATTTGCTGCAGGCTCTGTTAACTTCTGTTCCTATGATGTAGTTTGTGCTCTGATTCAGCTGCTGCAGCAGAACTAAGCATCACTGCACCTTCCTCTCCAGCATTGGGGTGCTGCACATGTAACACCCATAACCACCACCCTCGCCTCGTTACAGCTTGGAGGATGGTTTTACAGTGTCCTCCCTTTCCCTGAGGGGAAAAAACAGTACTTGGGAGCTGTAGATTGAGCTGCAGTGGCATGAGGGTGGTGGCAGCTCTGCAGTTTGCCTTTCCTCTCCTGGCCATTCTGGCACTGAACTTTGGTGCTTTCAAAGCCTGGTATGTGCCAGTCTCTGCTTTCAAACCTGTTTCCTCTTGGCAGGCTAAGTGTGACAGCCTGCTAGCCTTGAAGTCAGTGTGCTCTTGGAAGATGTACAAGTTAATGCTTGGTTTATGTGTGAGTTGGTGTAACCAGCAGGCATAGGCTTCTGTTAATTACCAATGCTGTGTTGCCTATCGGTAATGGGTGCTGGCACTGAACTGATTCATCTTCATGTACCAACTTCTGGCATGGCTTGTTTTAAAGTCAGAAATGTGGTAGTGTAGAAGCCTAAGGTGCAGTTCCAATGGTGATGCTTCCTTGCGAGTAGGTTTATTGTACACTTGCTGCTTCAGAAGGTGGTAAGAAACTGTTCTGCAAAGGACACCCAAGGTTTTCCTAGGCTTTGCTTTCAAACTCTCCTAATACAGGAAATGGAGACGCTGAGGTGGCATTTCTGTGGATAAGCCTCTGTCTCTTTCACTCTGAAGTCTTTTAGTTAAAACACTCCTACCTCCTTACAGAACTATGGTGGTTTTTACCAAGTGTTAAGTCAGAGATGTGAATGTCTGGCTTTGCAGGCAGATAGTTCTGCTGGCCCAGCATGGAACACATGAAGGACACAAGTTGGAACACATGACAGTTGAGTTCAGTACAAGTGTGTAAACAGGTTTTTTCTCTCTTTATTCTGCTATTGCAAGAACATAAAAATAGATGTCCTTTCCCCAGTCCATGGCTCCACATTTGCTCCCCTTCCCTCCCCCTCCCTCCCCCAGAAAAATTCCCTCTGCTGTGGAGCAGCTCTGAAAACTGTAAGAAAGCAGCTGCCCTTCACTTACTTAGGGGAAAACACCAACTTTAAAAGTCAAACACAGCTCTAGCAGTATCAAGGAGGAAAAAAAAACAAACCCAAATTAAATACGCACAGGATTCGTACACCTTTTCCACTATGCTTCCAGAGTTAACCAAGCTCCAACCGCAGGGCCAGCGCCGCCGGCGCAGCTCATGGCCGAGTGGTGTGAGGGCTCTGACCACCCAGAACCAGGGTTCACCCTCTCCAAACCTGACAGCGTGACTGGGGTGATCTCGTGAGGCAATGGTGAATCCAAACACAGGCAGGAAAGCGCTCTCCTCATGTGTCCATCAGCTGGGCGGGTACAGCAGCACCAGGCGGGCAGAGGTTTCACACCTACCTGGTGTGGGGCTACAGGAGGCAGGCAGCGCTCACACAGGCAACAACCCGCATCTGCCTGAACGAAGAGTGGCATTTTTACATCCCCATGCACACCAGCCCCACTTGGAAAAAACAAAGTTTAGCATTTTATAGTGGGGTTTGGTGCCCTTTTGATATCCCTTTCACCCCGCTAGCACAGAAGCACCGGTGAGTACCAAGTCCACCAGCTGCTGCCCAGCCCACCACGCACACAGGTAACCACATAGCAGAGGTGTCCGCTTTTTAAACCAAAGCAAATTAGGGCAACACTGACCACAGAACCAGCTGGGAGCGGGGAGGGAAATAAAACAAATGAAAAACCCCTGATTGCATTGCAAACACTCAACAGTCGACTCTTCAATTCCAACTTCTACCCACTCTGGTCAAGCAGGATCATTAAGACACAGCACTCTTAAGAACCAAGATGACTCTTTCTTACAAATAAAAATTTGCTTCTGTGAATAGCTACACAAACAGATGTATTTCTTTTAACAAATACAAACAGAACAGTCTAATTTAGACTCCAGTACAGCATTAACAGTTCCAACTTTAAGATGCTGAACACTCCTTTTCCACGTCAGTGCAGTGTAGGAAGAATAGCACACGGTAAAGTTTGTTACGAAAATAGAGTTTATTAAAAACACATTCCTATGGTTTTGAGGAGCTTTCACCGTTACCTTTTCTTAAATTAAAAAAAAAATAGAAAGCACTTCTACTTCTGATTTGTAAACTTTTTAAAGTCAAAACTTTAAAAAAGTTACAGCAAAAATGGGTAATAGTTTAATCATATCTTCAGTATTTCGTGTTACGCTGTGGCTATTTTAAATAGAAGGGAAGCAATCAAATTGCTTACAATTCCCCACCAACTACCGCGGGGCTGTGAGATCAGCAGAAGCAAATATAATACAGCAGACTGTACAACCCTAAAGCTCTACACTCCAACAAATGTCACTGTCGTCTCACGACAACTTCCAGTCCCTAGCGAGGAGCCTCCGACACTGAGCCCAGATCCTTTTCTGCCTGTTCCAGGGATGAGGTAGCCGCTGGTGTCAACTCTTCCGCAGGTTTTACACCCGTGGGTTCCGAGTCTCCCGAAGTGAGTTTGGAAACAATGTCTGCGTCTCCCACTTTGCTGCCATGAGATTCGTGGTTTTTGTCGCTGTCTGCCCTGTCAGTCATCTCCTGTTTTTCCTTCCCACGCGTTTCCTCCTTGTCTCTGCGAGACTCCCTGTCTCTGGAATCCCTCTCCCTGTCCCGATGGCCACCGGAACGCCTGTTCCTGTCCTCCAAGTCTCTGTGTCTGTCGCGCTCGGGGCTCCTCCGGCCCCACTCCCGCCTCTCACGACTACCGAGCCGCTCGTGATCTCGTTCGTCGTTGCGGTTACCGTAGCGGTCACGATCGTTTTCTACCCGATTTCCGTAAGACCTCCTTCCAAACCTTTCCTGGTCTCTGTTGGGCGTGAATGTCTGCCTGTCATTCCTGTACTGCCGCCCATCTCTGTTCTCCTCAGGTCCACCCGGTGCCCCACTTCCTGGCATCCCCCCAGGTCTCACAAAGTGACCGGGTGGTGGAAAGGGGGTTTTCATTCCATGGGGGGGAGGCATCCCAAAGCCCCCTGGCCCCGGCGGGGGCCCTCTGTGCATCATGTGGTGGGGCATGTGTCGTGGTGGCATCAGGGGAAAGCGCTGCAGAGGAGGGGGTGGCATTCCGGGCGGTCGCTGGAGTGGTATCAAACCCGGCCGGGCACCCAAGAGGCCAGTGGATGGAGTCTGCAACCCAACAACGGGGGCTGGTGGCGGGGGCGCAACTCCTTGAGTGCCTGAAACAGACAAACACAGACACGCCAAGTGAAATCACAGGCTGGGGGGAGAGGACGAAAGAAAAGGCATTTTCATCATCTCAAAACCAAGCATTCTGAACTTGTCCTATAAAATGCATAACACCAAAATCGACTGGTGGTGTGGGGGGAAGAGAGCAGCCTGCAACGCTCCCTGGGCTGGCTTACACACTGTTAAGAAAACATCGTATTTAAGCAGCAGTTTGTGCCATGCTACAGGTAATTAACAGTGCAGTGGCAGTAACTAATCACTCATTCAAAGGCTTCCTTCTGTGAAGAAGCTGCAGCACAGGTGAGAGATCTTCCTGATCCCCAGCTCAGTGTCTTGCTTTGTCAACAGAACACCTTCCTAACAGGTCACGCTTCCCAGGCTTCTATTAAAGCCACCTCACTCCCTCCTCCACTCCAAACATCCATGGAATCAGCTGCTAAAATGCCTGAGATTTGACCTGGCCACCAACAGGAGTTCTCACGTGCAGGAGAGGTACAGAGGGAGAGGCAAAGTCAGAACAGGGCTGGAGTCCAATTGGGAATCACAGAGAGCTCAAGGTACTATTCCACAGAAAACGGATGCAACAAAGTTTGTAGTTAGTAGAATAAACCCTGCAACATAAACTAAAAGGAAATGCAACAGGTAATGTCTGGATTTATTCCCGTTTTTTACACAGTTTTCCATCCTTTACAGCACACACCCAACACCAGCTGTTTTCCATTTCTATTCCTGGACTCCTCTTTTTACCATGGTCTTTGTAAGAAGGAAAAAATTAACTCTCAAAAATGCTGTTTCAGAAAGCTCAGCCAGAAGCTTGTTGGCATCAACACAAGGAGTGAAGACGAGCAAGGATTACTGAGCTCCAGAGGAGCTCCTACCAGTAAGCGAGTGCCAGCTTATCTCATGTGCCTCCTTCTGTCGGAACCAGCAGCATTACCATCTCAGGCTCTCTGTAGCCTGCATCTATCTGCCCTTTCTGTT